AGGAATTTGTAACCTGCAGTACTCTTTCTTACTGGTAACGCCATTCTGCTTGGGGAATATAGAACAAGCCCAAACAGTAATACTGACAGAATTCGGAATTATGATACAGTGGAGCCTTCACGTAATTCTTTGTTGAAGAAGTTAGGGCCTAAATGTTAAGGCTTATTGTTATTCTGAGTTGATAATCTCTGCCTTGCTTTAATAATTTTTCCTCATGCCTGGGTAGCCCGCGAGTTGCACAATAATCACTCACACAGCTTTGTAATCAATGCCCAAAGTAATAGGATTCCTCTGGCCACCGGCAATTAATAAATTTGTGTCTTTTTTAAAACACTAGCAAGTCGGGCCTGAAATACGACTGACTGGCTCTCCTCATTTGCATATTTATTGCAGTGGAAAAATTCTTACCAGATGATTGATGCTGAGCCTGCCTCTTGAATTCCAAGCAGCACATTATTATGAAATGAAAAATGCCGGCCATACAGTTGATTAAAGTTGAAGACAGTGGAATCGGTGTTTTTTAAGATTGTGGGAGAATTAAAGGCATATTTTAATAGATGTTGACAAGAAGTGAACTAACAAAAGCAAAGCAAAGGATTTGCTTGAAAAGATTTAATCAAACGTCTTTCTTGGGGGATTAATTGCTGGGGATGACTAGTGCAAGTGGCAGGCTTGTGTGGGTTTGAATGAAAAGTATTGTTCTCAGGCCAATACATCGTGTGTCATTTTGACCTATAGTTTAGCTCTGGTTCTAGAGTTACTTTTGAAGGAGAAAAAAATGCTCTTGTAATCCATACATTCTAGTCTAGTATTTATCTGGCGTAATAGGAATGTGGGAATTTATGTATACTTGTACATAAATTATGTTTTCATGTTTATTTTAAAAATAACTGTACAGATATTTAAAAACTGATAAGGTAAGCTTTATTTTAGTTATAAATTCACTGTCTACATTCCCCCTCCAATCCCCTTGCCAGAAGTTGTACTTATTGGTTTATAATCTAATTAATGAACTGTGCCTATGTCCAGACTTATTCTCTGCCTACAATTTTGTTTATGTTGAACAGCCAAGATGAATCAGGGAGAAAAATAAAGCTGTTAGGTGAAAATGGTTTTTAGATTGGTGACATTTTATATATAGAATGCTTGCATATGGGTAGCATGTAAATGAATACTTAATACAGGAATCTATGAATACTAGTTCAGTCCTAGCACTGTCGATCAGTGCAAGCAGAACTTGGGATTTTCACCACGTGAAAGATGATGATTTTTTTGATCATGATAAACTTCCTATATCCACAGCATTTAAAAATTTATGAAATGCCTTGATATATAAAAAACACGTTTATTATTTTTCACCTAAATTCTGTGGGATACACAGGCACAGGATTATCTACATTTTACAGATGAGAAAATTGCGACTCAAAGATTAAATTGGTCTGCTCAGTATAAAATGACTAGTTCGTAGTAGTGTCAGAATTCAGGGCTTCTGACCCTTAGTAAAGCCCGCTTTCCATTGATTGTCTAGTTGGAAAATTATTCCTAAAGCTGGTGCCCAGATGCTGAGGTTGTATCTTGATAATACAGTGAGGCCTATGTCCTTCTTAATCTCCTCTTAAGGGAAAGGCCTCGGAAATGGACCATGTAGGACAAAATAAACATATATATCCTTGACAGTCTCCATTTGTTTTGTGGCCACGTGCCAAGACGGAGAGAGAAGAAAGTATATGCCTCTCTGCTGCTTTTTTTAACTTTTGTAACTTTGACAGTAATTAGGAGAAATATAAAAGGTGAATTAGAAACCATTGGTTCCATTCTCTTCATTTTTCATAAGGTTGAACAAATAGAATTTGGTCCTATATGAGCGATAAAAAGAAGGCTGGCTTTGGTTTGGTTTTGTATTTTGGCTGGGAAGAATCCACTGTTGGATTTGAGTCTCCAGGAGAGTCTTTCCTCACTCTTATCAGATGTGGCCTGTTGTATCCCAGCAAAGGATTGTCTGGTCTCTTCAGATTTTACATAAAATCTTAGTGGAAGGAAGTGTGGCCCTAATATTGTAAAGAAATGAGAATTGGGTTCTTTCTTCTATATCTCTTTACAGAAAACTGTTCATGTGTTGGTCACTGGTGACTTTACTTTGATAAACACTTTTTTTCTTTTTCTTTATTTCTTCTTCTTCTTTTTTTTTTTTTTGTGGTTAGAAGCACAGAATTGCAGATTTCATCTCTGGTAGGTCTCTTGACACTTTGATGCATGGTGGTGCTATCCCTGAATGGAGCTTAAATACTTCAGGGCTACTTTCTGACTGGGTGAAGGGGTGTATAAAATGAGAACATATGAGAGAGTATTAACAGAAAGGCACACTTTGATTTACTGATATTGGCTCTCTGCTTTCTTGTTGGATTGATATGCTGTCTAATATATCTGCAATGGATTTTTTTAAACTGACTTGAACAAAATAAAAAGGCTTGTATAGCTACTTGAAAGTGGCCCTTAAAAGTAGTAGTCTTTTCGTTGGATGTTTTCACAGTTCTTGGTTATGCTACATGTGAGAGTCACATTATGACTGGCTTGCTGGGGGCAAGCAGCTATGAACATTACAGACTGCTCTGCAGCTTCCCCCCTGCATGGTTCCTGATTTCCTCTTTTACATCATGGACACATGGCACCTATAGGAAGTAAGGGACAGGCACCTGCTTTTCTTGTTCTTTTAAATTTTTTATTGTGAGAAAAACACATAACTTAAAATTTTACCTAAGATAAAATTTCATTCCTGTATAGTTAACATACAGTGTTATATTAGTTTCAGGTGTACAATATAGGAATTCAAAAATTTCCCCTAACCATTTCTAAGTGTACAGTTCCGTAGTGTTAAGTATATTCACACTGTTGTGTTACCAATCTCCAGAACTTTTCCGTCTTGTAAGTCTAGAACTCCATAGCTGTTAAACAAGTCTCCATTCCCCTCTCCCCCAAGCCCTGGTAACCCCCATCCTACTTTCTGTCTCTATGAATTTGACTACTCTAGGTACCTCCTATAAGTGGAATGATATAGTACCTTTTTATGGCTAGCTCATTGCACTCAGCATAATGTCCCCAAGGTTCATCCATGTGTTGTAGCCTGAGTCAGAATTTCTTTCTTTTTAAAGGCTGAATAATATTCCATTGTTTTTTTTTCCTGTTCTTTTGACTAGGCTCAAGATTGAAGGGCTATAGATGATTTTTTTCTGTACAGAGATGAACTGGGATGGTAGAATTATTCATTATGCCCTACTTTGGGAACATTTAAAGGGTTTTTTTTTTCAATTGTGTTAAAATATACATGACATAAAATTTACCAGCTTAACCATTTGTAGATACATAGTTCAGTATCAGTTAATAAGTACATTCACATGGCTGTCCCAACATCCCCATCATCCATCTCCAGAACTTTTTCATCATCTCAATCTGAAACTGTGTATCCGTTGAACAGGAATAGGTGTCCATTCCCTTCTCCCTGGACCCCCCGACCGCCACTGTTCTGCTTTCTGCTTCTGTGAATTTGACTGTTCTAGGCCCCTCGTGTAAGTGGAATCACACAGTATTTGGGCTTTTGCAACTGGCTTATTTCACTTAGCATAAGATTTTCAAGGTTAGGTCTTGGGAATTTTGAAAACTACTTTGCAAATGCAAAATTGGTTTGTGGTTTCACTTTGGAAAACATGGGCTCTCTCTCTTAAGATATAACCTTTTCTAGAAAAGGCACTAAAAACCATGGTTAGTGCTAACTGAAGTTTGTGTGGGCTGAAGTCCCTATGGAATATAAAGTAACAATGAATGTAGGGATTGCTAAATGAAAGTAGGGGTGCTTGTGAGGTTACATTTATTTAAGGGAAAGAGGGAAGGTGTGAGAGAAGCATGGCCAGGGATGAATGGACAGCTATTACTGAAAATAAGAATGGAAAAATCACACGATTTAGCAATGGATTAAATATATAGAATAAGGGCACCAAAATGTCAGTGATCGCCTAAGAAAACACATTAAACAGAAAATCAGACAAGGGAGAAATATTAGGTAGGAAGAACAAAGTTCTGTTTCTGACATGGTATATTTGGAGGAGTGATGGAGCATCCATGCGAAGATTTTCTTGCAGTTACTGGAAATGTGGAAGCTCGATAATAGGAGAAATGTCTGAGCTACCAACGCATAAATAGTGATTATCAGTGTCTAGTTAGCCCCTTTAACAGGATTAGGCTGATAAAGAAGGTAAGAGTTCAGTTCTCAGAGGGCCAGTTTTTATCTGGAAAGTTCTTAGCCGTAGACTGTATACTTAATCCTGACTAGCTTTATTACAAATGCATCCTGTCGGCTATGTGGAGAACCAGGTAAGAACATGTTCTTGATGCGCAAAATTTTAATACACAATACAGTACTGCAAATAGTAAGTCATTAACTTGGGTTTTCATACGTGAACAAGAACTTTTCATAGGCATGTGTGCGGGGAGATTGTGTGTATGGGGTGGCAGCTCAAACCAGAGGCAAATGAGATCTCCTGAGAGAGGGCGGCAGCGGTGGTGACGGTAGGGAGCCCAGGACAAAGTTGGGCTCTTGAGAAGAGGAGGAATTGCTTAAGGAGTTGATTGATAGAGGGATAATCCAGGAGGTCGGTGGGTTACCTGTACAAACTAGCACCATAGGGAAAAACGATTGGTTATGATGACAGGCAGGGAAGGAGTTTGTCAATCTTACTAAATTTGAGAACTCACAGTAAACTGCAGACCCTTTCCTACACACCTTACATGTGTTACCTCACTTGTTCCCCACAACAAGCCTGTGAAGTAGGCACTGGCATTATCTCCTTTCAGGAATTTTGTGTTTCAGAGAGTTCTTAGTCCCCAGCTGCCCTTTGCCTGCCCCCCTACCCCGGCCAGAACTGCTCAGGAGTCATGAGTTACAGGCATTGCCTGCTTTGGAGAATTGTAGATAATTGATTATTCCTTCTCTGTGCTCTATTTCCCAGGTCACAAGGCCCTTAAAGCATTATTGAGGTCATTGGCAGATCTTCAGGAAGAGTTACTTTTCCAGTACCCAGACACTAGATATTTAGTAGATGGGACAAAGCCCAAAGCAGAAAGGTAAGGAAGGAATGGAGCTGTGGGGTTGCTTATTTTAATCTGAGTAGTTTCCCATCATTTTTTGAAAAAGAAAGCCAAATCTTCTGCAGACTCAGTAAACAGAAAGACCTTCTTACATTTAACTGGTGGCCAGGATGGCACATAAATTGGGAATTAGGTTTTCCATTTTTATATTTACTTGTGCCTGCTTTTATTTGTGGGCTTCCGTAAAAGGCTTGCCTTTTCTTTAGACCTATTGAAATTAGGAGATGAGGGGTGCCTGGGTGGCGCAGTCGGTTGAGTGTCCCGACTCCTGGCTTTGGCTCAGGTTGTGATCTCAGGGTGGTGAGATCGAGCCCTGTGTCAGGCTTTGCATTCAGCGTGGAGTTGGCTTGAAACTCTCTCTCCTCTTCCCCTCCCCACCTCAAATAAATAAATAATCTTTAAAAAAGAAATTAGGAGATGAAAGCACATTTTGTCATTTTAAATCTTTTTTTTTTTTTTTTAAGATTTTGTTAAGAGAGTGAGCGCATGGGGGGTGGGCAGAGGGAGAGGGAGAAGCAAACTCCCCTTTGAGCAGGCAGCCAGATGTGGGACTCGATCCCAGGACCCTGAGATCATGACCTGAGTCGAAAGCAAACACAACCGACTGAGCCACCCAGGCGCCCCTTAATTTTAATTCTTTTGTTTTTTTTAAGATTTTATTTATTTGATAGAGAGCACAGCAGCACAAGCAGGCAGAGGGAGAGGGAGAAGCAGGCTCCCTGCTGAGTAAGAGGCCCGATGCAGGGACCCGATCCCAGGACCCTGGGATCATTACCTGAGTTGAAAGCAGATGCTTAACCAGCTGAGCCATCCAGGAGCCCCTTTATTTTTTTCTTTTTCTTTCTTTCTTTCTTTCTTTTTCTTCCTTCCTTTTTTTTTTTTTTTTAAGATTTTATTTTTTTATTTGTTGGTGGGGGAAGGAGAGAGAGAGAGCACAAGCATTGGGGAGTGGCAGGCAGAGGGAGAAGTAGGCTTTCTGCTGAGCAAGGATCCCGATGCGGGGCTCTATCCCAGGACCCTGGGGTCATGCCCTGAGCCAAAGGCAGCCGCTTAACTGACTGAGCCACCCAGGCGTCCCTTAATTTTAATTCTTAATTAATGTTCGTGAAGCACTTTGTGCCAATACCATGGAATTGCTGGTCACAGCCATCTCCTTTTCAGTGAGGAAAGGAGTTACTTTGAAGGGTGGAAAATTTTCAGAAAAGCATGGAATAAACAAACTGTTTACTTTTTCTGAAGTTGTCACATTTGATGAAGGATTTCCACAGCTCCCCCGCCCCCCACCCGTTGTTTGAACCTGCTGTATATGGTACCTGCTTGCATTTTTTTCCTTTGGGCTTATCCTTTGCTCCATTCTTTTTTACTGAATTAGTTAGAGGGACAACAAGTAAGCTCAAAGTTATTGAGCACCTACAATGTGTTGGGGTCGGTAGTCCAGGGAGTATACGTGGCTTGAGAGAGGCTGTATTACTTTCTCTGAGCAGTTGCCTTTATTGCAATTTAGTTCCCATTCTGTTGCCCACCGCTTTGAGTTTTCTTCACATTCAGCTCTCTTCCTTTGATTCAACTAATATTATTCGGCTTTCCTGAACAATTGGTTACAGGGAGACACATTTCCCTTATTGATTTGGGGATTAAGGTCATAAAAGTATGATTATGTGTTTAATTTTTAAAGACCATCTTGTAACAGTATAGGCCTGGTTCATATGCATTTCTAATAATGTTTTACAACCTCATTTATTTTTACGGTTTGCTTACCTTTTAAAAAAATATCTCTAAGCTAGTAGTTTTTATATTTATTTGAAAAGTTACAAGAGTTTTTGATTGACCTCACGAACATTCTTTTCAAACAAAAAAAGCCACCCTCACATCTATGGTATTTTTTAAAATGTAGACAGAATAGGGAAGGCCTAAATACTCTCGACTTCATGTGAGCCTAGCTTTTTACTTGGGTAGTGTTTGTGCCCATTGAGCTGAATGTTCTTACTGGCTTTTTAGTGAGGAGATTTCCAGTGAAGATGAAGAGCTAGTAGAAGAGAAGAAGCAGCAGAGAAGGGCCCCAGCAAAGAGGAAGCTGGAAATGGAGGACTATCCCAGCTTCATGGCAAAGCGTTTCTCTGACTTTACAGTCTACAGGAACCGCACACTTCAGCAGTGGCATGATAAAACCAAGCTGGCTTCTGGAAAACTGGGGAAGGCAAGTGTGTGTATGTGTGTGTGTGCATGTGTGTAACAGAGTTTGGGGCAACCTAAAAAGAAATTGGAACTACAGGGGCGTCTGGGTGGCTCACTCGGTTAAGCACCTGCCTTCAGCTCAGGTCACGATCCCAGGGTTCTGGGATTGAGCCCCGCATCGGGCTCCCTGCTCAGTGGGGAGTCTGCTTCTCCCTCTCCCACTCCCCCTGCTTGTGTTCCCTCTCTCGCTGTGTCTCTCTCTGTCAAAAAAATAAATAAAATCTTAAAAAAAAAAAAAGAAATTGGAACTACATCTCATTGATATGGATAATGTCATGATGTAATAGTAATCAGTCATTTCCACAGAAAAATTTACTGAGCTCCTGCCATTCAGACCTGGGATTTTAATTTTATTAGAAAGAATATTTTGGGGGCCCCTGGGTGAGTCAGTTGGTTAAGCCTCCAACTCTTGATTTCAGCTCAGGTCATGATCTCAGGGTCATGAGATCGAGCCCCGTGTCAGGCTCCATACTCAGCATGGAGTCTGCTTGGGATTTTCTCTCCCCCTGCTCGAGCGCTCTCTCACATGTGCCTCCTCTCTCTCAAATAAATAAATAGCGTCTTAAAAAAAAGAATATTTTGTTCTAGAAATTGTGGGCTTGTAAGTGTTCAAATGTTTGGGAATACAAAATACTGAAAGAAATGGATTTTTCAACAGTTACGAAAGGTGTGGAAGTTAATCTCTGGGTATAGGAAAGTAATAGACCTGCCTTAGACTAATTTTTTTTTTTCCCCCTGAGAACAATTACAGCCATTCACAAACTCAGTCTGTAGCACGAAGTCCCTCTGAAAGGAGGATTGTCTGTTTCTCTGCTGACACAGAAAGAGAAACCAATGTAGCTGCCTTCAGCACAGACTTTCTGTATTATCTGACACTGGTAAATGTTGTTGCAGGGTTTTGGTGCCTTTGAACGCTCCATCTTGACTCAGATCGATCATATTCTGATGGACAAAGAAAGATTACTTCGAAGGACACAGACCAAGCGCTCTGTCTACCGAGTTCTTGGCAAACCTGAACCGGCAACGCACCCTCTCCCAGAGAGTTTGCCAGGACAACCGGTAAGAGCTCTGGGATGCTGGGTGATTACAGGGAGCAGTTTCTGTGAGGCTAATTAGCTGAAAAATCTGATCACCTGCTTGTAGGTATTACTCTTGGTATAAGAAGTTAGTGAAAGAAAGGGAAAAAAGCACTACTTTACTAGATTGTAAATTTACTAGAAACAGAGTTTATGGGAGGAGAAAGTTCTGTTAAAATGGAGCCATTATTAACTTGTGTGTAGTCTTCTCTTATTTTTGAGTTTGACATGAGTTTGGTAATGGAAGCATTTGTAATCCAATTTTTAAAAATTCAATTTTAAAGCTGCTTCTCTAGAAATGTCAGTACTGAAAGAAGTGTGTCCTTTGGCTTTATGTCCGACGTTTAGATACTATAGAAAAGGATCCATAATTGGAACACATTCTTTTGTTTAAAGGAAGCTTTTACTTATAGAAATATATACTTAATAATTTTTTTCAAAGTTCAGAAGAATTTAAAATGAAAAGTAGGGTGCCTGGGTGACTCAGTTGGTTAAGCGACTGCCTTCGGCTCAGGTCATGATCCCAGAGTCCCGGGATCGAGTCCCACATCGGGCTCCCTGCTCAGTGGGGAGTCTGCTTCTCCCTCTGACCCTCCACCTTCTCATGCTCTATCTCATTCTCTCTCTCAAATAAATAAATAAAATCTTTAAAAAAATAAAAAAATAAAATGAAAAGTAAAATTCTGCTTCTCCGATTGAACCAGTGTGCATAATTATAACAAGGCATTTTCTATTCATATAACTATATGTACGTATATGAAAACATGGTTCTATTTTTTTTAACTAAATGGGATGGATATGTGTGTTTACATAAAATGTTATACACTCTATATAAAATCTTACAATTTTTTAAATTTAATTTTTCCTAGGCACTTTTCCAAATCATTACATAGACGTTTATCTCATTTTTCCTAATAGGCTACGGGGTATTCCATTGTGTGGGTGTGTACTATAATTTATTCAAACAGTGGATATTTATGTTGTCTCCAGCTTTAGACACAGTGCTATAGGAAACATTCATGAGCATTTATAATACGTGTATTTGTGTGAACATATTTCTCAAAGTGGAGATGTCACATCAAAGAGAATACACATTTTAAATCCTGATAGATGTTACTGACTGCCTCCCAAAAGGTTGCATTAATTTCCATTTCCACCAGTTCTGTTTCTGGCACTTAATGTTGCCAGTTTTAGAGCTGAAAGATGGACACCGTGTCTTCTTATTTTAATTTTCATGTATTTATTTAGAATGAGGTTAAACATTTTTATATGATTATTGACGATTTGTGGTTCTTTTCATGTCACATGCCTAATTAATGTCTTTGTCCACTTTTTTATTGGAATGTTTTTGTTGTTTAATTTTAAGAGCTCTTTATATCTTAAGGAAAACTGCTTTGACTGTTACACACATTATTTATAGTAGCTACATTACTTCGATAACCCTTTGGGATTCACTCCTTCCTTTTTTCCTCCTTGATATAGGAGATCCTTCCTCAAGCCCCTGCCAATGCCCACCTGAAGGACTTGGATGGTGAAATCTTTGATGATGATGACTTTTACCACCAGGTGTGATTTTTACACTCTTTTCTTTTGTTACAGATCAGGTTTTAGCATTTTAAAACACCTCATAGAATTCTCTGACCAAAAGGTAGCTTACTTTGTAAGGAGGATAGAGTCAGGGAGTTAAAACTGCTGTCTATAGAATTGACTTACTATGTAGTTCTGAGTCTGTTTTTGTTGTTGTTGTTGTTTTTAAGAGTTAATTTTTTAAAGTAATCTCTACACCCTGTGTGGAGCTCAGATTCACAACCTGGAGGTCGAGAGTCTCATGCTCTACCAACTGAGCCAGCCAGGTGCCCCTGTTGTTCTGCTTCTATGTTGTATTTTCCCTTTTGAAATGAAAATGACTACAACTACTTTGTTATTGCTGCAGAGTATAAAGTATCTGTAAAACAGCTGCAACTTCTTTGAGTCAGGTGGTTTATTCTTTCTCAGCCATTTTTGCTAATGTTAATAGAGGACATTTGTTAGTTATTTGGTTTCTTGTCCTACTGGTATTAGATTGGGATATGGAGCTAAAGGGCCGGGATCCCATAGTCCTTGAATTGCACTTCTGGTTCTATTGCCCATTAAGTGTCTCGTCTTTGGGGGGGGGGGGGGAGTGTGTGCGCGCACACGCATGTCTCTTCAAATCAGTTAAGTATATATCGAGATTGTCTGCTACTGTTGATTATAATAATAATGTAGTGTTTTGAAGACGGACAGAATTGGTAGAACTTGAAATATGGCCCAGTTCTTGAAATCTCTCCCAAATGTTCCCCAGTTCTTTCGCTGACATTATTATCTGTTGGCATGCTGCTCTTTTTAATGATGCTAGTGACTGTAAAGGGAGACTAAACATTTGGGCTGTTCTAAAGAACTAAAATAATTTCCTGTAATCCTGGGTCTCCTGATAAGTCATACTTAATGAAATGTGCTTTAGGATGTCCCCTTTCTAGCTCTGGAGAATCAAGGATGCTGTTTAACAGTGATACACCAGCTTTTGTTGAACCATTATTTATCGATATATTCTTTTTTTTTCTCTGCTGAATTTTTAGCATGCTAACTTTTGCCAAGGAATTTGCAACTGCTTCTTGAAGGTTTAGCCATGATGACTATATTATGTATTTGGAATATGAAGGAAGGAACATGGGACAATTACACTACGAGGCCAGTAGAACAGGTGATTATGTAAAGGGGATAGCTCTGAGTCTTTGCCCTAAGAAGAGAAATAATAATCTCTCTATTCACTCTGGAATGTTCAATGAAATTATTGCCATAAGTGAGCCTTAAAAGTAATGATGAGAGGGTGTAGGAAAGAGGATTGGTGTGTCCTCAGGTGTTCCTAGTCAGAGGCCCTGATTCTTTTTTCCTTTTCTTCTCTTATTATATCCATTTGTCAGAAGAGTAGGGAACTCTATTTTGTTCTAGAGTGTCTAAGGAAGTACCTGATATGGGATATTAATGCTGTATAATTGTGTGAGATCATGGGAGACAATCAGAAATGCTCCAGTCTTCATTAATTGAAGTGTACATTGTTTGATGGAAAGTGCATCATAAATTAAATAGGCTTAATAAAATAAACTGAAATTACTGAGAAGTTACTTCCACTGGCAATCTTAGTCTGAAAGATTTTTTTATTTTTTTATCTTTTTTTTTTTTGCCTGGCGGTCTGTTTAAAAAGAAATAGCATTACTTGATTGGCCCTTCATCCCAATTAATAATAATAATTCTGATTTCAGAGTTATGACTAGTCACATCTTAGCTTTTCCCCTTGCTGGTTAATTGGGGTGCTGGGGTTAATCTAAATTAAAACTTAAACTAATAGAGGTCAGCAAGGCAGCTGAAACACCTGAGTGAAACAAATGGGGCTGCCAGGCGCAACTTTATCTTGGCTGTTTCCCAAGAGGGAAGTGGCAGCAAATTGGAGTTGTTTCAGCCTTCTGTAAAGGTGAATGATGGGTGACACTTGTTAATGTACAGCATCTCCGGAAGCATTCCAGATTGCCTTGCTGCTGTACCAACTGCTGCCATCCATGCACAGTCAGTAGGAACTGGACCAGTTGCCAACATCTGGCAGCACAGCAAGGAATGGGTGCAAGTCTTGAAACCCCGCAGATTCTAAATATGGTGCTTAGAACTGTGCAGGCTTTAATCACTTACCGCTCTTTGGCAGCGGGCTACGACAGCTTATCCGAGCCTCGTACATCACACCCCGACATCTGCTGAGCCGCAAGGCAGCTGCACATTCATTTTCTTTTCTTGCCTTTTCTCTTTGCCTCTTCTTCTTCCCACTTTCCCCCTGCCTCCCTTCAGTTTTCCTCTCCCACCCCAATATGCTTCTTGGGAGAGATGATCTGTAAAGATTACTGCTTCATTGTGTGCAAGTAATTGTGGTGATGCCAGGCCCTTGACAGACAGAGCACAGCACCTGTTCTGCTGACCTGGTTAATTTCTTCTGTTGAGTGGGATTTGCCCGAGATTGGAGCTGAAGCCAATTCAATGATAAGGCTAAAGAAAATGGCTGTATGTTTTCTGTCACCTCCCAATTAAATTGGCTTCATAAAGTGCTTTCCTTTATTTGTCAGGGTAGTAAGCCTGAGCTAAGTGTTGCATTCAGAAGTGGTACAATGTATTACAATGGGCCTGTGAGTTTTCATTTGTGTTTTTTTAATGTGGTCATATGGAAGAGCTGGGTGGTGAATATAATACACTTCGCCTTTTTTTTTTTAAACCATACTTGAAGCCAGACTCTTTGGGTCCATGTTTTGTAAGGAAGAGATTATAGCCACATTGAATTTTAATGTTTCATTGTAAGGGTTTAAAGGCTTACTTGGTTAATTCAGGCTGTGTAAATGCCCTAACTACTGAGAATGATGTTCAGGGTCAGAATACCCAACATACACACACATTCTCCCTCTCTCTCTCTCCCTTTGTTTCATAATGGCCCTTAAATTACTACAACTTTGAAAATATATCTGTATTATTTAATAAAGGTACATATGTATAGGTATGTACATGTGTGCACATATACATAGAAAGGGGGCACTGAGGGGTATCAGATATCATAAGTAATCATATCATTTTTGGGTTGAAAAGAATCTTACAAGAAACTGCATCCCTGAGAAGTTAAGTAACTTCCTGGAAGCCATATAGTAAATGGTAACACAAGTACTTGATCTTAAGACTTTTTAGACCAAGTCCTGTTCTTTCTGCACCTCTATTTCTTAAATATTTCATTCTTGAGCCATAAAAAGACTTCACTATCGTATTACACACCTTTCAGTTTGTAAATAAGCTTTATTTTCTTAGAACCAGAAGAAATATTATTTATTACAAAGTCATTTTTTGGGCGCCTGGGTGGCTCGGTTGGTTGGGCAGCTGCCTTCGGCTCAGGTCGTGGTCCCGGGGTGCTGGGATCGAGCCCCGCATCGGGCTCCCTGCTCGGCAGGGAGCCTGTTTTTCCCTCTCCCTCTGCCTGCCTCTCTGCCTACTTGTTCTCTCTCTCTATCTCTCTGTCAAATAAATAAATAAAATCTTTAAAAAAAAAAGTCATTTTTTTTTCTTAGAAGGCAAATGATTTATTGAACTGTTACTTAATTCTAATGTAAAAATTAGCTTTATAGGTGTGCTACCGGTTTATTTGGAAACTGGAATTGCTGAAAGCTTGAAGTATACCCAGTGGGAAGATTTTATGAGAGAAACTGTTCACCTGCTGTAGGCATTTCTGAGTTTCCCTCTCAAGTGGAATTAGTTTGCGTTTGGCCTCTTTCTTGTCAAAGCTCATCCCTAAAGACAATTTCACAAAACAGGAAGGTTGTAAATGACCACAAAGGATGAGCCATTGAGAAATGTTTTCAGTATCTGTTTTTCCTTTTCATTATCCTGTTTGCTGAGTTCTATGAGATGTGTTATCTGTATCACCATGTAAGGTTTTTCTTTTGTTTTGACTTGCTTTTTTAAACCATCAGTTGATGTTTGACTTGATAAGCCTGTATTCTTAAAGATTTGAGGAAGGACTAACATTTACTGAATACTAGTTATGTGTCAGCTCCTTGGCTTAGTAGATCGGTATTTGACATACATCTTTATTTAATCCCCACAAGATCTCCAGGTTGAGGTATGACTGCACTTAGCAATGAGCAATATAAAGTGACTGCTTTTATTCTTTTCATATCCCAGACCTCAAACTAGTTTCTTGTCACTTCATGAGGTACTTTGTTCTGAAAGGACTAATTGAGCTTAGATATTGACAAATCGATACCTGGGTTCTAAGGGTTCATTAGGATTTTGTATGTTGCTTCTAGCTCTGTTTAGTTTTGATCTGGTTTGTCCTGTCACTTTGAATTTAACCAGGAGTGTCTAGAGAAAGGGATAATAGGTTTGGCTCTTTCGATGACCACTTTGATGGGTTAAATTTCTCCTTTCACATGCCATCAGGGCATGTCTATAACTGACCTTGCCACATGCTGGACTTAGATATTTGATAATGCCATAAACAAGTAATTACTAATTCGGTGAACTATTAAAAGTCGATAATGTTAAGAAATAGGGAAGAGGCAAGCTTTCTGACAAGATGGTTTACCTTAATTAAATTGGTGAGTGATTAATATGGACAGTTGATGTGCTGGCTTTAATTGCATACATTTAGATCTTAGTGTGAATAAGATGTTTCAAGCCATTCCTGTGGTTAATGGCAGTACAGTATTCTTACTGTTGGCATATGTCTCTACAGTGGTTCAGTTGATGGTTAATAATATATTTTAAAGTTTGATTTGAACCTGTTCCTTTTAATTCATTGTCAAAAAACAGGTACCTTCTGGTTCAGAGCAGTATTTCATTTTTAGTTTTACTTTTAAATGTTACTGTTATTTGAGATGTGGGTTGTGTTTCTTAAAAATTTGATGAAACTTATTACACATAGACCTATATGATGATTTTAGAGAGGATATATATATATATATGAAGTACATAAACTTGAAAATTGGAATTATGGCAAAAATACAGCAGAGAATTAATCAGTTAGG